TGATGTTCTTGCAGTCACTGAAACTGAAATTGTTCACCAGATGCTGTAGCAATGTTTTCTGTTGTTTAACTTTCTTATGAACATAAAATAATCCTCTACATTTCCAGTAGAGGTCACACAATAGCAGTGTGTAACTCCAGAAAGGCTGGACAAACGTTCCCAGAAAAACAAAGGTTAAATGTAGACCAGTTAGGGATTGTTGTACTGCCCTCCAAAACACTGAAAGACCTTCGTCCCACTGTTCCATTCAATCCCTTGTGTCCACATTCAAACAGTTTGCTGAAACCCATCCTTAGCCCTTGGACTCGAAGGAGAGAATCTTCTCAGCCCCTGAATGATGAGGACCTTGGTGAGAAAGTTAGGGAAATCAAGTGAGATTGGCAGGAATGAGATTTTCAACATTTGAGAGCAAAAAGAACCATTCTGCAAACACATGTTGCATTGCTACTAAATACAAGGCCTATTTCCACACATTTGTGTGTGTTTGCATCTCATGATTGATTTAATCTTTTCTCGTGCAGTTTCCCATTCTCCCACCTGCCATGTAGAAACCAGGCGGTGACAATTTCTGACACTAACATCGGAGCGGGTACCTGGTTTCTCCTGCCGTCCTCTGTGGAAAGCGGTCACCAGCGTCCTAGGGCATACTCCATGGACAGCAACTGCACGCACTCCCCCACGTCCACTTAAATTGACATCGGTCTCATGCCAGTCTCACCACACTGGGCGACACATCACTGGTACAATGTGGTTTGACACTTTAATGCTGCACTTTGGAGTGCAGGAATAGGCACCAACTCGTGGATTAGACCATGGAGCATTTGAGGCCTTCTTGCTTGCTATCTTAGCAATTGCTCACTTTACGTCTGTTGATGCTCACAACATCTTAGCTTTGCCTTGCCTTTTTGCATTTTGCCACCTCAGCCAGCGGTTAAAGGCTCAAGGTACTTCTGTCTTGACTTGCTGGTTAGCGTAGTCAAAGCCAGGCAGCTTGCTATGGTAGTCCAGTCATCAGTCAAAGGGGGTGGACATGTTGCTGAATGTCACTGTGCTACTTCAATCTCGTGCCCATACCTGCAGCAGTGTATGCAGCAAACTTACTGCATTGTACATTAACCAAAGGGCCAGTCTCAAAGTTTAAGAGCAGTAGTTCTCCGAGTCAAGGACAGCCTCTGATATCAGTTCAGGGACTTGGACGCAGTCCGTCAGTAGCTTAGGGTGGTTGGAATCAGGGGGTCTGTCTCTCTACAGTTCAAGGAATGGGCCACGGTCAGTCCTTTGCCACTGATCCAGAGAGTACTGCTACGTTAGTCAGAGCTGCACACGGATTAATCGGGCATCTGGTTGGTCAAAGGGTTGAACCACTCAGTCCTGGAGATCCATCCTTTTAAAGGTCAGGAAGGGGGTTATCAGGGGCTGCTGCAGGAGAGAGGCTGTGGAACTCTATTCTCGGGATTGGAGGCAGCGTGCTGGGATGCATAGGGAGTAATTATTGTGAGCTGGAGAACTCCACATACAAGGGGTGGAAGACAATATAGTATAGAAGATGTGGAGACGCTGTTGTTGGTCTGTGGTGGACAAGGTTAAAAGTCACATGACACCAGGTTATGGTCCAACAGGTTTATTTTAAATCACAAGCTTTCTGAGCACTGCTCCCTCACCAGGTGATGTCACTTCACCTGACGAAGGGGTAGTGCTCTGAAAACTTGTGACTTCAGATAAACCTATTGGACTATAACCTGGTGTCATGTGACTTTGACATAGCGTAGAAGGGAAAGGGGTAAAATGGGAGAAGGGGACCAGTGGACTACTTTGGCTGGCATGATGATGCAGTATGTCTGGCATAAAGAACATGTGCTTTTTTTAAAAAAGGAAAAAAGACAAAAATAGTAAATTCCAATGAGAACTATTTCAAAACCAGTGTTATAAAGGATTGTTGCATGGTTCGAAAAACATTGAAGTCTTGGGGTTCTGTGTACAGCTGCAGCTGGATGGCAATAATTATTTGATTGGTCTATGGACTAGTGACCAATTGCTGATGACAAAAGCCTGTGGTTTGCAGGTAACTGAACAGCTTGGGGCTGAGAGAGAGAGACAGTATTTTGATCTCTAACAATACTGGAGAGATCTTTCTGTTCTCTGCCATCAAAACCTGTTTTAATCCTGAAGAAAACCAGTTCACTTACAGCTTACAAATGCTAAAGGAAAAACTTTTAACGGATGCCATTTATAAGTGAACAAGTCACCTTGTGTCCCTTAAAATATCCAAAGAAAGATGTCTGAAATGCAACATTCTGACCAGTATCAGAACAGTAAGGATCATCACGGCAACACAGAATAGGAACCACTGAACCACCTCCTTGTTTTCCTCTGCCTATAACTTATTTTACTCTGTCAGTGTACGTGTGAGAGAGGAAGTTTTATAAGAGTATTAGAATTTAATATGTAGTATTATATGCTGATGATTTATAACTGTTTACCTGGAGATAGAGTCTAATTACTTATTACAAGTAGTAATAAGTATTAAACACATAAACTTGGTCCAAGTTTTCTATCCATTTGGGTCTGGAAATCCATTGAATTGGGGAATTTTGTGTACTTATTTTAGGTTGAAGATTCTATGTGTTGACTCCAGGAATAGTGATTTCCAATATGCTACCCCAGTACCACAGCGAGTCATTGAGTCATACACCACAGAAGAGACCCTTCAGGCCATCAAGTCTGTCCAACCTATGAACACTAATACCACTTTTTCAGCACGTGGCCCAATGTATGACATTTCAAGTGCGCACTCATATACAAGTGGTGAAAGACAACATAGTATAGAAGATGTGGAGATGATGTTGTTGGACTGGGGTGGGGTGAAAACGTCACCAGGCTCCACCAGCCTGGTCCCAAGTTGCCACCTGCATCAGTGCTGCATCCCAGGTGCAGGATTCCTACCTCCTACTACCCTCCCTGGCAGTGCATTTCAGATTTGCACCAACCTCTTGCCTCCTATCCACGTTGTCCATGCCCCTCATAATCTTGCGCACCTCATTCAGGTCCCCTCTCAGCCTTCTCTCTTTGAAAGAAACAACCTGAGCCTATCTAGCCTCTCTTCGTAACTAAAACACTCGAACCCAGGCAACATCCTGGTGAATCTTCTCTGCACCCTTTCCAGTGCAATCACATCCTTCCTCTAGTGCAGTGACCAGAACTGTACACATGACCTCTGTGCTCTATCTATGCTATAACCAATAACGGCATGTGTTCCATATGCCGCCTTAACTACTGTTAACCTGCCCTGCCACCTTCTGTGATCTGTAGACAAGCACCATAAGATCCTTCAGTTCCTCTGAGCTTCCCACTGTCCTGTCATTTATTGAATACTCCCTTATCTTGTTACTTCTTCCAAAGTGTATCATTTCACGTTTATCAGGCTTAAATTCCATCTGCCACTGATCTGCATAGCTGACCAATCTATCTATATTTTCCTGAAACCTAAGAGTCCTAACTATTAATGATCTGGCCAATCTTCATGTCATCCCCAAATTCACTCACTTATTCTCAACACTTGCAACTATTTTGTTTCTATATGTCAATGTCTGGTGACAGTGGGGATTGCAGGTAAAATGTGGAGATGATCAGTTAAACAGGTTCATTGGGGACTTGGGAAGATCAAAGCTGGGGCGGTTGATGAAGAGGTCAACCATGAGGAAGTATGAAGATCTGGGGGTCAGCTAGACTGAGAAGCCAACTGTGTCTCCCTCCATGAAACATGACTTTTTCTTAAATTGTGATCCAAATAGCAAGTTTGCAATGGCGTCAAAATGGTTGAGAGCATATGCCAGTCAACACTCCGCCACCCTATGTCTGCAGCTGGCATGAGGAGAAATAGCTCAGTCAAAGAACTTCCAGAAACCAGGCACCTGCTCTGGCCCAGGCACGCTCTGTCCTGTGATGGGCCATTTTTTCCTGGAGTGAGACAAAGGGCAGGAGTTGAGATTAAAGTGGTTGGCACAGCTGGTAGTATTGGCGCAGTGGGGAAAAACTGACCACGAGGAGGTCACACAGAGGAAATGCACAGTTGGTAGTATGGGAGGTTCTGGGAGTGAAGAGGGAGGTGAGAGAAAACGAGGGAAAGATGTGACAGCGAGAATGACAGAGAGCATGAGCCTTGGTGGCGGGTGGCGTGCAGTAGAAGAGATAGAGGTAGCAGACAAAAGGTGCTGGTTCTTACCTGGCAGAATGGAGAAGATCGTTGGCCTCCTTGCAGCATTGAGTAGGAACGCAAGCACCTTGGATGCAGCACTGACTCAGGTGGCAACTTGGGACCAGGCCGGTGGCGTGATCAGTTCTGCCAATCCTGAGAGAAGTGCACAGCTGTCCTCTACACCATCCTGTTAATGAGGACCTCTAGTGTCTATCGGCAAAGTGAGCTGTCAATTCTTTTCTGTCCACCGTGTCCGAGGCAATTGACAGGAACTGTGCAGAGCAACTCCAGGCTGATAGGGCTCGACCGGGTACGCAACCATGTTTTAAATAAGGTGCCAGAACCAGGAGTCCTGGGAGGTCCTGGCCTGTGGCAAGAGGGAAGATGCAACCAATGGAGCACCTTCGAGGTGTGGTGCATTGGTTATGAGGCGCATTTCAGAAAATAAGGTGAGAAAGTTAGATCGTTGATTTTGATTGATGTGCACGCGATAGGCTGAAGGGCCTGTTTCTGTGCTATAGATCTTTATGACAAGGACTCCAAATCTTGTTAGGCATTAGAAATAAACCATCCTTGAAATTCACTGAAATTGACACTTTGCCAATTTCTGGTAGTATTTGCCTCTGTTTAGGACTCAAGCAACCATACAGCAAAATACATCCTATAATTAAGGTTAGAATGTTTGTGCAATAAAATAAACTTTAACTCATTAGAACTTTCAGTATGTTTATTACAGCATATAAAACAATTACAATATAACGACAAAACTGTTTTAATAAAAAGTAAGAAAATCTATAAAACGGAGTGTTAAATTAGGTTTTAAGGTCCCACTTAAATAATATCAGTACTTGTAAGTTTTACTTGAATGTACAATTTTGAAAGGGTGAGTCAGCAGTTGGAAGGAAGACAAATACCACATTACATAATTAGTTTGGATAAATATCAGTATTTTAACTGCATTTTAGCTTCTTTTAATATCCAGAAATTAAACTTATTTCTTTATTAAAAACAAACCGGTGTTAAATATCATTGAACAACTATTTAGTAGGATGGCCCACAAAGATTGTTGATTGATATGTTAGATTGAAAAAGCATGTACATGGTTTAGTGTATTTTAGCATTTGCCCTGTATTGTCATTTGAGTCGTCAAACATAAAAAAAAATAACTTTTACACTTTTTCTCGTGCGAAATAGTACCTCTTGTGTTGTGGGTCACGTTCTACAAATGATGTTTTAGGAAGATCATAGGAGAAGAATTGTGTACTTGGGAAGCAGGTTTTTGGCAGACCAGTGAATGGTTTTCAAGCTGCTGTTAAATTTCTTTTCATTAGGAATTGCAAGGAATCACAAAAGAAATCTTTGGTCCAAAGAATATGTCCCTGAAACAGAACAAGATGTAAAGCTGTTAAACTTCAGCTGTTCTTTCCAAGGTCTTATTTCAGTTTTGACAGATACTCTCAGAGGTGGTTGAGCAGTGATGATCAATGAGCAGTGATGATCAATGAGCAGCACTTGTTAACGGGTGATGCTAAACTCGGGGAGTGCAGCTGGTTAATGAGTGGTGCAAGTTAATGTTGGCAGACTTAGCCCACTAGTAATGCCAGGCCCAACTACAATGTTATCTTCATGCAGATCCCCCACACACTGCTGTAGGTTAACTGCATGGTGATTTGGAGTGACACTCTGACCGATTCTTCCCCTTCCTTCCATGGGGTCATAACAACCAACTGTACTGACCATTCCAGTGTCCCTTTTCTTATAGCATTTATTGCCCATCCCTAATTACATAGAGGGCAGCTAAGCGACAGCAACATTGCTGTCTGGAATAGGCCGGTAAGGGTAGTAGTTTTCTTTCCTAAAGGACGTTAGCGAACCTGATGAGTTTTTGAAAATAAGCAACTATCATCACTATTAAACAAGTATATCAGATTTTCATTGAATTTGAATTTCACCGTGTGCCAAGGTGGGATTCGAACCCGTGCCCCCAGCTGCCAGTTCTGTACTACTAATTCAGTGTCATCGGTGTTATGCCATCACCTCCCCCAGTCATTGCCGAGAAAGGACTGAGAATTTTTGGAATTCTTTGCCCAGAGGGTTGTGCATATTCCATCATTGACTAAATTTTCAGTTCAGATGGAATTAAGGGATTCAAGGGATACAAGAATGGGTGAGAAATTAGATTAAAATTCAAGATTAGCCATGATTGCATTGACTGGCAGAGCAGTCTGAACAAATTGTGTGGTCTGCTCCCGCTCCTTACTTTAGTTTTTGGACAGCACCTCAATTTAAACTCTGTCAGAAGTGTGACTTTCTGCAATGCGGTTCTTCTTCAGTACAAGACAGCAGTGTCAGCCCTGGTTTTATGCTATAATCCCTGGAGTGGGATTCAAAATCCACAGCCATCAGACTCAGAGGCTCCCACTGAAGCAAGGTCGAAACATGAACTTATCCTGTGAAAGCCATTGTAAAATTTGAATAAACAATTTAAAAGTTCATGCCAGAGTTCTTCGGTGCTACAGTATCAGTAAGATGACATTGTAGAAACGGGGACAAAAGCTCTCTATTAGATACAAAAACAAAGTTGCTGGAAAAGCTCAGCAGGTCTGGCAGCATCTGAGGAGGAGAAAACAGAGTTAACGTTTTGGGTCCGGTGACCCTTCCTTAGAACTCAGTTAACTCTGTTTTCTCCTCCACAGATGCTGCCAGACCTGCTGAGCTTTTCCAGCAACTTTGTTTTTGTTCCTGATTTACAGCATCCGCAGTTCTTTTGGTTTTTACTCTCTATTAGATATTTCAATTTAAAGAAGTTCCATTTCTGTTGACTACAAAACAATGCCACACTTACAAAGTTACATTTCACAGAATTCAATGAAACTGGACTAAACCTGAATATCTGCAATCTGCTGACCAAGGCATATACAATACGAATGCAATTTGTCAGAATCCACACAGTAACCTGCTGGACATCATTTTTATGATCCATTAAATAAAACTCAATCACCTAATTAATTTTAAGGATGAACTGTTGCTGTGCTTATATAACATATTGACCTAGATCTTTCCATCTCTGGATAGTAACAGCCTGGGTGTACACTGGAAAATGCATGTTGGGATGGTTTGGGAGTCCTGACTCTAGCCTGAGAAATTCCAACTTCTGATGGGCAACTGCCCACCATCAACAACCCTCTGATTAAAGGCCCCAAATCCGAGGTACAGTTGGACTGATTTACCCAATTTGTTAGCAAGGAAGTGTTAGAGGGATTAAAGCCCACACACTAACTATGTATGAATCTGATCATTTGACACTCCTATTACCCCACCATTATTACACTAAACCTCCGACCTCACCAACCTTGTCATGGGACACCTACCCCAACCCTCACACCGCACTAGACCCAATGCCCCGTGCTCCCCACTATTATTCCAGACCAAACTGACCCTATTGACTCAGAGCCTATTCTGTTTCCAATCACCCCCATTCCCTGGCCCCCAAGATCACCACCTCAACCAGAGCTGCCTCAACAGGCCTCAAACTCCTCTTACCTAAACTACACTAAGGACTCTCACTTAACCTGCCACTTGTCACCCTATCCCTCATCAACTGGGAACTTCATCCTTGGCACTCTACCATCTCACCCACCTGGCATCTTACCTGGCACCTCATGTCACACCCCCACCTTCCACACCTACTGCCTCGTATCTGCTCACCCACCTACTAACCATCCTGTCAGGTAACTTAGACACCTATGTTCTCTCAGCGCTGTTAAAGTGAATTCCAGATGTTTCAGTCTTTGAAAAACAGAAACTTGTTTAGAAACAAAGGGGCATAATTTCAACACAGAGCCACTCACTGCTGTATGGGTGGATCCCTAGCCAGGACTAGACTGCTTCAGCTGAGAAACCTCCTGGCCCAGAGGTTCGCACATGTACACACTTACCTTTGGAGGTTGTTCTATTTTTTGTTTGACAAGAGTCAGAAATTACGAATCTGTTCCTGATCGGAAGTAAAATGTATGTACTTAGGGTATTTTGGATTTTCATGAAACTCCCACTTGAAGCTTAAGATGTTGCTTAAGTCATTGCGCATTTTTTAATTTGTAAAAAAAAAAATTACATTTTCTCCATGAGTTTATTAAAGGTGTAAGTATATTATGGTTATTCATTGCAGGATTCGCTAAGGCAGTATACACCACTGACATTCTAATTTCCAGAAAATTACTGCTCCGTTGTTCTGACCATACGGCAATTTTGTCAATTAGGACCACCGTTTTTTTTTCCCCCCTGGAGAACAGTGAGTCTTTGGAATAGCTGCTGGCATGTACAGTGAGGGCCTATTTACTACAATTATTTCAACAAAAAGCTGAACCTTTTTCTGGCCGGGCCTGCTATTACATCATATATGAAAGAACAGTGCGTAGCATTAGCAAGACCACACTTGATCTCCAGGACTGACTTTGATCACTCAAGAGTGAGTCAGAGGAGAAGTTATTGAGTCATAGGGCTCTGCAGCACAGAAAAAGTCCCTTCAGTTCATTGAGTTCACGCTGGTCAAAAACAACCAGCTAACTACTCTAATTGCATTTTCCAGCACTTGGCCCATAGCCTTCTATGCCTTGGTGTCACAGGTGCACATCTAAATACTTCTTAAATGTCATGAAGGTTTCTGCCTCTATCACTCTTACAGGCAGTGAGTTCTAGATTCCTACCACCCTCTGGGTAAAAAAGATTTTGCTTTCATCCCCTCTAAACTTCCTGCTGCTTTCCTTAAATCTATCACCTCTCATTATTGATCCCTCCACCAAGGGGAGGAGTTTCTTCCTGTCTGCCCTATGTATGTCCCTCATAATTTACACCTCAATCATGACCCCTGTCAATCTCCTCTGCTCTAAGGAAAACAACCTCAGTCTGTCCAATCTTTCTTCATAACTAAAAGGCTCCAGCCCAGGCAAAATCCTGGTTAATTTCTCTCTCCCTCTCCAGTATTATCACATTCCTCCTATAATGTGCATTCCAGAGCTGTATGCAATACTCGAGCTGTGGTATAACCTCCTTGCTCTTAAACTCTATGCCTCAGCTAATAAAGGCAATAATTCCATATGCCTTCTTAACCACCTTATTCATCTGTCCCGATACATTAAGGGACTGGTGGACATGAACACCAAGGTCCCTCTGATCCTCAATATTTTGCAGGGTCCTATTCTTCATCATGTATTCTCTTGCCTTGTCATCCTGCCCAAATGCATCACCTCACATTTATCTGAAAGTGAATTCTTAGATTTTCTTGCGAAAATTAGTTGTAATTTTTAATCTTTCTTTGTCACTTAGTTTTTTGATGTACTGTGATGTCTATATAATGTGATACATTAACAAGGCATTGCAATTGTGAGAGACAGGGCCTCGTGGAGTTGATACAGTGATCAGTGGTTTGGCTGCAATTATTTACCATGTATATTAATGGCTAGGATGAGGAAAGTGAATGTGTTGTAGCCAAGTTTGTGAATCACGCACAAACATGTGAAAAAGTAAGCAGTGAAGATGATACAAGAGTCTGTACAGCGATAGAAACAGGTTAAGTGAGTGGATAAAATCTCGGTAAATGGAATATAAAGGAAAATACAAGGTTATGCACTTCAGTTTTATGGTCTAAACATAGGCTGGTTTCCTGTTGATCCTCTTTAGTCTATTATCACTGACTCCATTTCCCTCCCTAACAACTGAGGTTGAACAAGACTACACCCAATCATCATTTTGTATTTGACCAAGATAAGTCTACCACTCCTTTTCTGGACCATCACCAAGACCCCTTACTTCCAATGGCCTGACTTAGCCCTGTTCAGCTATGTTCCTCATGCTCTTGGGCTGACATTTATTATCCGTTACCCTTTGAAGGTAGTTGGAAGCTGACTTCATAGAATCCCTACAGTGCAGAAGCAGGCCATTCAGCCCATCGAGTCTACTCCACAACCTCCAAAGGGCATTCCATCTAGGTCCACCCCCACGCCTACACTATCCCTACATTTCCCATGGCTAATCCACACATCTTGCACAGGAAAGCAATTTAACATGGTCAATCCACCTAACCTGCACATTACTGGACTGTGGGAGGAACCGGAGCACCCAGAGGAAACACGGGCAGAATGTGCAAACTCCACACAGTCACACAAGGCTGGAATCAAACCTAGGTCCCTGGTGCTGTTAGGCAGCAGGGCTAACCACTGAGCCACCATGCTGCCCCATTCCTGTTGTTCATTTGGTGTAGGTAGACCTACAGTGCTGGAACGGAGTTCCAGGATTTTGACCTCTTGGCAGTCAAGGAACAGAAATACATTTGCAAGTCAGCATGTAAGTGGCTTGGAGGGGAACTTTCAGTTGATGGTATTTCCATGTATCTCCTGCCCTTGTCCTTCTAGCTAGAACTGGTCGTGGATTTAGTCGGTGCTGTCTAAGAAACCTTAGTGATTTGCCGCAGTGCATCTTGTAGGTAGTACACACTGCTGCTCAGCATCAGTGATGGAGGGAGCGAATGTTTGTGGATATGGCTTCAGTTAGGAAGACTGCATTGTCCTGGATGGTGTCAGGCCTCTTTAGCATTTTGGAGCTGCATTCATCCAGGCAAACAGGGAGTATTCCATCACACTCCTAACTTCTGCCATGTTGGTGGTGGACAGGCTTTTGGAGAGTCAGGTGGAGAGTTAATTGCTGTAGGATTTATAGCCTCTGACCTGGTCTTGTAGCCCACTGTGTTTATGGGGCGAGACCAGTTTCTGGTCAATGATAACCACCTTGATAGTGGGGCATTCAATGATGGTCAAGGGACAATGGTTAGATTCTCTCTTATTGGAGATGGTCATTGCTTGGCATTTGTGAGGCATGAATATTGCTTTTCTTCAGCCCTAATCTGGATATTGTCCAGGTCTTGCTGCATTTGGATATGGACTGCTTCAGTATCTGAGGAGTTGTGAGCGATGCTGAACATTTATGATTGATGTGGAAAGTCTCTCCCTTATAAGGTACTTTACAAAAGGAACAGAAAAAATGTATTTTGTAAATAAGCATTGGCAATTTATTGATGAAGAAATAAAGAGGCCTGCGAAGGCTTGGCAGAAAAGATGGGTTTGGAGCAGTTTCTTAAATTGGAAAGACTGGGGAAAGAGAAATCGAGAAAGGGAAGGATCCATTAAAGATCAGAATCTGAGAACTGGAGGATGCATGTGTACAATAGCTGGGAAATACAAAGCATTTCACATGAGGGATAACAGAGAGGCTATTGGCCCTTGTGCTTATAACCGGGTAAACTCCACGCCAACATCTGCAGTCTGTTTTGCTGTATTTAAGAATAGAAACTAGAAAGTTGTGATCTGACTTGAGAACATAAGAAATAGGAGCAGGTCATGGATTGCTTAAAAAAATCCATCTGGTTCAGTAATGTCCTTTTTAAGGAAGGAAATCTGCTGTCTTAGCTGGTCAGACCTACATGTGACTCTTGAGGTACTGAAATGTAGTTGACTATTAACTGCCCACTGGATATTTAACCATGGAGAACACATGTTGGCCTAGTCAGTAATATCCACACTCTGTTAACAAATTTTAAAATATTTGGTATTTTCTGTTTTAGTAACCAAGCATCTCAGCGATGGAATTTAAGGCTGAGGAGACACCTTGTCAGTGGACGTGATGGCTCACTGGTATTATCACTATACTCTTCGTCCTGAGACCCAGATAATATTCTGCGTACCTGGGTTTGAATCCCATCATGGCAAAAGGTGGAGTTTTAATTCAGTTGAGAGTTTAATGATAACCACAAAATCATTGTCGATTATTGTCAGAATATAAACATATAAACAGTCATTTTCCTAGCTACCATCAGTTCTGAGGAAGGGTCGCTCAACCCGAAACATTAACTCGGACTTCCCTCTGCAGATGCTGCTAGACCTGCTGAGCTTTTCCAGCAATTTCTGTTTTTGTTTCTGGTTCACTAATGTCCTTTAGGGAAGGAAACTGCCATCCTTACCTGTTCGGGCCTATACAGAACTCAAAACCCACGCAATGTGATTGACTCTTAATTGCCCTCTGAATGGCAAGGAATGGCAGCTTAGTCAGCAAAGCCCACATTCCATAAGTGTGTAATCTTATCCTGTTACGCATGCCTTAGACCCCCCCGGTAGACGTCCGAGTAGTGAAAAGGCTCTGGCGTCTGGTATAGGTTATTCCTTGCTGTAAGAGACCATGAGTAGTCTGAGTTCAGCTCTTAAGTACTGTTCCTTTGTCACTGATCACACAATCTAGGCCCGCGATTTTATGCAGATAAACACAATGACTTCATCTATACACTGCAAGATTCTCCATCGTGTTAAACCAAAGCTGAGAGTGTCCTCTTGCCTGGAAGGAAAAGATTTCACAGAACTATTCCGAACAGCAACAGATTTCTGGCTAGTGCCCCAGCCAACATTTATCATTCATCCAACGTCACCAAATATGCGGGAACTTGAGGAAAAGAGCTGCTGTGGGTCAACAAATACAGCAATATTTCACTGGCTAGAAAGCACTTTGAGATGTCCGAGTTGCGGAAAGTGCTTTCCAAGTGCAGGTTATTTGTTTACATGTAGTCATTGCGTTGTGATATTCTTGGACACATCTGAGCCAAGTCTTCTTTGTCTTGGAACGTTTTTCTTAACTCACAAGGCGCTACATAAATGCAAGCTGTGGAGGAGACGAGTTGATAAATATTCAATGCCCTTTGTTATTTCTAGACTTCGTGGCATTTGTCAGTCAGTGAATTGCAGCACATTACAGGGAGAAAGTCTGTACTAGTTTGTTGAGTGAGTCATTCACTCCTGGCAGTGTTTGCAAGTATGGCCGAGCATGTTATCACTGCTCCCCCTAACGGCAACAGCAGGAGGTACGTGTGTGTGTATGTGTGTGTCTGTGCAGAAAGTGACTTACTTGGGGCAGCAAAGCAATTCTTGGAAATTGCAGTAGCACACAATCTCACAGTCGTCCCCGGCCCAGAAGTGATCCGTCAATCCATGGTCTATGAGCCGTAAGTGTTCGGTCCCTTCGGGGATGTTATGGCAGCTTCGACCCTTTAGCAGCTTTTTGTAGCACGACGGGCGATTTGTCGGCATGGCTTGGGTAACCAGCAGACAGCTCAAAAGCATAAGAACAATAGGCTTTTTCATTTTTCACTGGAGGCTGAGGGGCAGAACATGCCAGGTCTTTTATCGACATGTATATCTTTTAAACACACAAGATATAAAATAACCTGGACGACCTCGCCATGTTTAGACAAGCCAAAAAAGACTGATTTTATTTTTCTCCTACTTTTGTAATACCTTCCTTAAAATAATAAATTTAAACAAATCAATCCAAAAAAATCTCCGCACCAAATATGAGCTTTTGATTTTGTGCATTTGCATTGTTCGTTCACTTGAAACAAATCTATTAAATAAGGTTAATTTTACAACCCTGGAAGGCGTGTGTGTGGGGATAGTCAGTCATTCTCAGTCAGATAGGGTTGTTGCTACGTTACCAATTCATGTAGAATTGCACACTCGAAAGAAAATAAGACTTTTTAAAAAAATTGCTTTTTTTAAAAAAAACGAGAAATTTAAAGAAACGAGATGAAACACATTCAGTGGCAGCCCATGCGTGGAATCATTGATTTTTATGAAAAGGGCACACTTTGAACCTAGCCATAATCTGCAATTGCAAACTGGAACTTAGTTAACGTTTTAGATAATTCAATTTTGACGGCAAATAGAATGGGCTGAGTGCAGGTTATGTATATATTAAATTTACTTTGAAGATTAACTGCTGAGCTCCAACTGTTGCTGCTCCCTTTTTGTTTTACAGATACGGAACTGGGGATTTTGAATACGTGTTTATTTACACGTTAGAATGAATGTTTAAATTTGTGGTTTAAAGATCACTTACCTTTCTAGAGTAGTGTGTGCCTACAGCTGAGGAGGACAGATGTGAACGCCTGGACTCTCTCCCTCAGTATGGGTTTATAGAGGCAGCAGCCACAAACGGGGCTTTGTGCTGGTCAGGTTGTAACCAAAGCTCACAGGCTCTCTTCTCCCACCCCCTCAGCCATCCAGGGATTAAATATAACTAGCTCACTTCAACAGCCAGGATCCAGGGGGGAAACATTATGTGCTGAGAGAAAAAAGAAACAGTCACTTCACTTTGGAAGGAAGCATTGAATACATAAGAGCAGGAGAAATGAGAAACTGCCTTCACCCAGCCCCCTTAACCCTGTGTTAAGGGTCTGCAGGGGACATATGTCATTGTTTGCATTACCCTCTTGTATAAAGACCTGTTTTGATGAAGGTAGCAGTTCAGGTTTGAAGGTAGAATTTAGATCCATCTCGCTCAAAGCCACCCTTTGTTCTTAATCCTTCGCAGGCCTCAGTCTCTTGGCTATGGTCTATCTAGCCATAGATTCAGAGTTTGTACAGCATAGAAAGAGGCCCTTCAGCCCATCATGCCTGTGTGGGTCATCAAACATTCATCAATTCTGAGATAGTGGGAATTGCCGATGCTGGAGAATCTGAGATAACAAGGTGTAGAGCTGGAGGAACACAGCAGGCCAAGCAGCATCAGAGGAGCAGGAAAGCTGACGCTTCGGGTCTGGACCCTTCTTCAGAATCTGATCCTATTTTCCAGCACTTGGCCCTTGGCCGATGGTGTTTCAAGTAGTTCTTAAATATCTTAAGGGTTCCTGCCTCTATCATGCTTTCAGGCAGTGAGTTCCAGAAACTGACAACACTCTGGGTGCAAAAAAAATTCCTCAAATCCCCTCTAAACCTCCTGCTCCTTACCTTAAAACTGTGCCCCCCTATTTGCTGAACCCTCCACAAAAGGGGAAAAGTATCTATCCAGTCCTTGCTCCTCTGAACTTTGTCCATATCAGTCAGGTCTCCCCCTCAGCCTCAACAACCCCAGCCTATTTAGCTTCAATTCACAGCTGAATTGCTCCAGCCCAGGCAACATTCTGGTGAGCCTCCTGTGCACCCTCTCTAATACAATCATAACCTTCCTATAATGTGGTGACCAGAACGGCACACAGTAGTGCAGCTGTGGCCTAACCAATGTTATATATAGCTCAATCATAACGTCTTTACTCTTGTACTCAGTGCCTTGACTAATAAATCAAGCATCCCATATGACTTCTTAAAAAAACTCAAAAGAACTGCAGATGCTGGAAATCAGAAACAAAAACCCAAAATTACTGGAAAATCTCAGCAAGTCTGGCAGCATCTGTGGAGAGAAATCAGGCCCAGTGACCCTTCTTCAGAACTTATGGTAACTAGGAAAAAGTTGCTTTTTATGCAGAAGATAGGGTGGTGGGGGGGGGGGGGGGGGGGGGGGGGGGGTAAATGATAGGTGGGGATAGAGCCCAAAGAGAGAGAGAGGAGACGAACAGTCGGACAAACAAACGATTGAATAATGGTCAGCTCAGGAGAATGAATGGCTGCTAATGGGGACTATTAGTGGCTAACAATGGGTAGTGCGTAATAGGAAACCACGCTGCAATGCTCCAGCAAAGCTCAGCACAAGTTAGAAGAATAGCAGAGATAGTAGGAACTTCCGATGCTGGAGAATCTGAGATAACAAGGTTTAGAGCTGGATGAACACAGCAGGCCAGGCAGTATTAGAGAAGCAGAAAAGCTGACGTTTCGGGTCTGCACCCTTCTACAGAAGAATAGCACCTCATTTTTGACATGGGAACTCTATAGCCTTTTGGACTCGATATTGAATGCAACAATTTTAGGGGTTGAGACACCTTCTCCCATGTCCTTATCCCAAACCCACACACCAGGTCTTGATATCACAAGATCTGCTATCATGCACTACCCATTGTTAGCCACTAATAGCCCCCACTTGCACCTATTCATTCTCCCAGGCTGAGCGTTATCCACTCCTTTGTCCAATTGTTCTCCTGCCTGTTTGGGGTCTATCTCCAACTATCCTTTATTCCTTACCCCACCCCATCTTCTGTATAAAAACCAACCATTCCCTAGCCACAATCAGTTCTCAAGAAGGATCGCTGCACCCTAAGCATTAATTCTGATTTTTCCCCACAGATGTTGCCAGACTTGCTGAGATTTTCCAGCAATTTCGGTTTTTGTTGCATTTGACTTCTCAAACACCTTATCTACCTGTCCTGCTGCCTTCAAGGATCTATGGACATACACACCAAGGTCATTCTGATCCTCTGCACTACCTAGGACCCTACCGTACACTATGACATCTGACCAGCTTATCTACTTAAAAAGGAAACACTGAGGGCCATCGGGAAGACGATTGGGGCGGGAGGGGGTCACTTGCATTGAGCTAGCACAACCTGAATAGGCCGAATGGTATGTTTCTGTGATTTAATAGTTCTGTCTTGCACTTGGCACTAAAACAGAAGAGGGAAAAAATGATATCAAAAGGAGGAAGTTACCTTCCTTTACCCCAAGTGTTTCTGCTGCAAGTGTGTTTGCGTCTTTTTCTTCCCTCCCTTTGAAACATGTAACTTCCTCCTCCCTGGCGTTACAAGTTGTTTTCTGGACATTTTAAGACCCATTTATGGTCTGAATTGTTGACTGTCAGCCCGAACAGCAGGCTATTTTTTTTAAAGAAAACAAAAACTACTGGCTCCCGGAAGCCTGGAGACTGACGGCGGGCAGGAGTGTGGGTAAACTCGAACAGAGCTTCCAGTTCGTTGCAGTAGCAAACTAAGCTCTGCAATTAACCAACTGCTTTGTCCGGTCATTTTAATTTTGTTCTTGTTTTGCTGCATCTATTTCACGTTTGCCTACAACATGGCAATCTTTCCGATGAATATAGCTTGGTGTTGCTCAACATTCTCTCATAACTGCATGCGCCCAGAGAGAGAACTGAAAACTATTTTGCCAATAACGTCTTCTAAAGCGAAATAATCTCACAAGGAGGAGGAAAGTTGTTTTTTTAAATGGGGGAGTTGAAGAGAGAGACATTCTGCCCCCTGCTGACGGCTGAGTGATGCACGACAGTATGAGAGAACGCCCAGTCCATTCATTGATGTTTAAGGACACTAGGATATTTCACTGTAAGTATTACTTGGAGATTAATCTCGTTCAGATTTTAAACCAGGCAGGACAACTGATTCAAACGCACAGAAACTGCAAGTCCTGCACCATCTATGGAGAGAGAGACAGAGTTAACATTTGGAGCCTGGTATTCTACTTCAGAAGTGCTGGTCAGGATGACTGATTGGTAAGGGTATTGTCTTGAGAAATGAGCCAGCAAATATCAGTCGCCTGTTTTGTTGAGTTGAAACAAGCACAGTGCCCGTCATCATGTCTGCATCTCATCGCCAGAACTTTCCAACAAG